GTGCATGCCCTCTCCCTCTCCCTCTCCCTTCCTCTTACAAGTCTCCATCATTCCCTGGACTGACTTCTCTTCAGGCACCTGTAACAGTTTCTTGAACTAATTTCTTGTCTCCTTAACTTGGCATAATCTCCCTACTAACCCTCAAGTTCATCCTGATTCTCCAATGCTTTATCCACCCTGACGTCAGAATCTTACCTTGTCTGGGGCACAGGGTGGGTGCTCAATAAAGACTAAATGAGTGAACGACTTGAATGATGAGCGTACACCTTGACAGATAACCACCAGCACTGGAGACTGTGACACAGGTCTCCAGGTACAAGCTACAACCTCATGCTCTTATGTTTCAGTTGCCTCTTTGCTTCTCTGCACCTCAGATTGAGTAAATATGACAGTGTTGGAAACTCTTCAGCACGTGGCATGATTTCCAAGAATAGGTTCTTTCCATTTCTTCTGAAAGCATATCTTCCTTGGATGACATGAAAGCTACGTATGAAGGCATTTGCAAAATGGAAAATGCCGTCCCACCAAGGAAGAGCTTCTCTCTGAACCAACTTGATTATTTTTCCCCGAATGAGTTTGCATGAACTGGGCAAGTGGAATAAAGGCTCTGGCTCTGGCTCTGGGGTTTGGGAATGAACAAGCCCCTGGAGGAGAGGGGGAGGAGACCCAGTGAACCAGGGCTGAGGATGCACACAGAGGCTGCTGTCTAACCCTCCACAGTTTGTAAGGGAATTTGGTTGTTTAAAGGAAGCTCCTATTTGGTAGAGAGAGGTTTATGATCCCCATGGAAAAATCCTAAACTGAAACAAAATCTGTACCGCATCCAACTCATTTTTCATTCAAAAACTGCCTTCTCGGACTGGGGATTTAGCTCAGTGGTGCTACACCTGCCTTGCAAGCGCAAGGTCCTGAGTTCAATCCCTGGTACTGGAAAAGAAAAAACAAAAAAAACCCAACAAAAAGTGCCTTCTCTTACTGGACGACCCAATCTCTGTGACTCTTCTCTAGAAAGCATGGTTCACTTCCCAATATTTAACATCCACTCCTTTATTACTTCTTAGAGTTATTAGAGTTTTTACTTATTAGAGTTTTAAAACTTATTAGAGTTTTCACCTATTTCTGCATTATCTTAGACACTTGGCACATTTTTCATGGTCATCATATTTGTATTTAATCCATAATATCTCTCAACTGACATTTCAGTATCCTTACCTAAATCCTCCAGTGTCCAGTGACGAATTTACACCACAGAGACGGGCAGAGAGGCCTCAGCGCCTGTGATGGAGGGGGAGCATTGTGGGTGAAGGTGGCATCCTCTTGACGATTATGCCAGACTTCACCGTCATGTCTTTATTCTTCATCTTGGGAAGACAGACCCATCGCGATTCTTTTGCCTGTTTGAAAGTGTCCCTAGCAAAAGCACTAGTCTCTTAGTCCCAAACCCCATGTGAGAATTGGCAAAGGGAATTTGGATGACAGCATGAAAATAGAATGGGCAGTCTTGAGTGTCAGAGCTCCAGTGGGAGTTATTAAATAGTTCACTACAACACACACACACACACACACACACACACACACACACCTCTGCTTTCCAAATTCTTGCAAGGCCTCAGAAGACTCTCTCTTTCTCTCTCTTTGGAAAGAGCTACTGCTATATGGTCACTCACTCCAGTGCAACGTGCCCCAAGGGACAACTAGTGGCTCTTGAGGAAGTGAAAGCATGCTGGCTATTCCAGAAATGTGTGGCCCTTCAGAAATCCTCGATACATAAAGGACACATAATAGATCCTTGGTGTTAAATTTCCTTGTGGGGAGCAGCTAGGAAAAATATTTCAAAAAGCACCTTATAGGGGAAATAATGGGTGTATTGGTTCAATGAATCTCTGTCTCACGAGACTCCAGGAGGATGACAGATGTGTGTCATGTGTCATTATCTAAGCCCTTCTTGGTCAAATATTAATGCCTTACAACAATTTGATATTTTGTGAAAAATATGCTCATTGTGTTGCAATTTCCTGAGCTGCTTTACTTCTCTTGGCCTAGTTTTGAATGAATATTGAAAGCTAAAGGATGGAATTTGAGGCATCCACAGAAGGAGAGGGAGATTCATTGTTTCTTGATGTATCTACTCTCCTGGAATATTTCCCTGGAGAGAGAGGTGGATTCCAGCACA